TGGGGATTATTAGGAAGGGTATTGAAAACAGATCAGCCAATATAATAATGCCCCTATATAAATCAATGGTGAGATCTCATTTGGAATACTGTGTGCAGTTCTGGTCACCACACCTTAAAAAGGATATTATAGCTTTGGAAAAAGTGCAGAAAAGGGCAACTCGAATGATAAAAGGGTTGGAACACTTTCCCTATGAGGAAAGGTTAAAGCGCTTAGGGCTCTTTAGCTTGGAGAAAAGACGACTGAGGGGTGACATGATCGAGGTTTATAAGATTATGCATGGGAAAGAGCAGGTAAAGAAAGAGGTACTTTTCTCCCTTTCTCACAATACAAGAACTCGTGGGCACTCCATGAAACTGCAGAGCGGTCGGGTTAGAACGGATAAAAGGAAGTACTTCTTCACCCAAAGAGTGATTAACACATGGAATTCACTGCCACAGGAAGTGGTGGGTGCTACAAGCATGGACGGCTTCAAAAGGGAATTAGATAAGCATATGGAGCAGAGGTCCATCAGTGGCTAAGGTTAGAATGGATAGAAGGAAGTACTTCTTCACCCAAAGAGTGATTAACACTTGGAATTCACTGCCACAGGAAGTGGTGGGTGCTACAAGCATGGACGGCTTCAAAAGGGAATTAGATAAGCATATGGAGCAGAGGTCCATCAGTGGCTATTAGCCACAAGGTATAGCTAGGGGCTCTGGGGCAAGTGATGCTCTGTCTTCTTGGTGCTTGGGGGGGGGTCAACAGTGGGAGGGCTTCTAATGTCCTGGCCCCACTGCTGGACCTCCTGATGGCACTGGTATTTCTGGCCACTGTGTGACACAGAGTGTTGGACTGGATGGGCCTTTGGCCTGATCCAACATTGGCGTCTCTTATGTTCTTATGTTCTTATGTCTCAGAGTGGCTTACAAACTCCTTTCCCTTCTTCTCCCCACAACAGACACCCTGTGAGGTCGGTGGGGCTGAGAGAGCTCTTGACAGAAACTGTTCTTTTTCAAGAACAGCTGTTATTAGAACTACGGCTTGCCCAAGGTCATCCAGCCAGATGCAAGTGGAGGAGTGGGGAATCAAACCCGGTTCTCCCAGATTAGAGTCCGTGCACTTAACCACTACACCAAACTGGCAAACAAAGTTAGCATAGGGAAGGCAGAGTCCACCAGTTAGAACCTGATATGTGGAGTAACACAAAGGTACATTTTATCCCCCAGTCCTCTTTATTTTCTTGTAAGACCTTTGGCCAAGATCATCCGGAGCTTTGGAATGGGTTGTCACCAATATGCTAATTGCAACATACGACCCAGCTTTATATTTCATTCTCCAAAACCTTGAAGGCAGATGTGAACATCCCGAACCAATGTCTTGAGGTTGGTGCCAATTGTCTGAGGGTAAGCAAATAGCCGCTTAATCCAGGCAAGATGGAGGTGATGTTGGTTTGGAAGTCAGAGCGTTTGATTGGTGCTGATTTACCAGACTTAGATGGGATCACGCTTCCCATAACAAATCAAATTAAGAGCAGGAGTGCCCATGCATCCAGCCTTGTTAATGGATACACAGGTGGGTGCTGTCACTAAGAGTGCCCACTTTCAGTTGTATTAAGTTCATAAACTGGTGTCTTATCTAGACTTTGCTGACCTGGCTACTGTAACCTCCCGTCTAGACTGTTGTAATAAGCTCTGGGTGGGGCTGAATTTGAAGACGTCTTAGAAGCATCAACTGGCACAAAATGTGACAGCAAGGCTCCTCTCTGGATTCATTGATCTGTCAGTTGAAGGCCATTCCCAAGGGGAGAGGGCTAAAATTGGCCTTTCTGACTCTTCCGGCAGCACAGCTTCTTCTCCTGACTGCTGCCTCCCAACTCATGCAACTAGCAGTTCACACAGGTCAAACAACCCAGGGTCAGAAAGGGCTGCTGTGGGGGGGGGGGGATGTAGAAATAACCTGCAATCCTTGCATTTGTGGATCCAACCCACTATTTCCTGCTATTTATTTTTTAATTATTTTAAATTGTGCTTTATTGACTTGTTAATTACATTTTTATACTATGGGATGAAACCTTGAAAACTTTTCTCATTGCAGTATAAATGTATACAATTACTAATAACAAAATAAATATGATGCCCACCTTCACATCTTCTTTGATCTTCAGTAAGATCCATGTGGGCCATGGAGCTCTCCTGGAATTACAACTGATCTCCAGACTACAGAGATTAGTTCCCCTGGAGAAAATGGCAGCTTCAGAGGGTGGACTCTGAATTATAGCTGGCCAAGAACCCTCCCTTTCCCCAATCCTGCCCTCCCCAGGCTCCATCCCCAATCTCCAGGAATTTCCCAACCCAGAGTTGGCAACCCTGAGATCTATACATACACTCTTGATCTTGACCTTCTCAGGAACCATTGAGGCCTAACCCTTGACTGCCTAATGAAGATCTATTATTTTGCATAAGGCACTGGACCACAGTGGCCACTGATGGCTGTGGCTTAGCAGTCAGCCAATTAGATCTCAACATGTGGTTCACAAGATGTCACTATCATATTCTCATTTCTGGGGTCAATCTGTCATCTCTATGAAAAACTACTTAAATATGGAGATCCACCTCTGAATTTGCAGAGAGAGAGAGAGAGAGAGAGAGAGAGAGAGAGAGAGAGAGAGAGCGAGAGAGATATCCTTACCTCACCACTAGAGAGAGATCCTTACCTTACAATTGCCACAATGTAGTCATCAGGTCCCATAACAAGGACCTGGCTAGCAGAGGGACCACTTTCTACGGACAAATGTGGAACATGATGATCAGGGGCAGAAGACTGGGAGTCATTAATCAGTTGGCGTAGCAAGTTTGCAGTTGATTGTCTACATTAAGAAAAGAGAGAAGAATGGTGCATTTTAAAAACAGAAATGCCCAAGTCCAGGCACACTGGTTATTACCATATGAAAGACAAAAAGATGTTTGGCCTTCACCCTGGTAGAAGGGAAAAAATGGCCAGACTATCAGGGGGCCCAGCAGGTTGAGCAGCACCAAAGGACAAATCAAAACATAAACCTGGGAGGGAAAGGAGAAATATATTTGGGGACACCAACTACAAAGACACATGAAAAATAAGACAGTCTCGACTTCCGGTTTATGGTGACATGCTGGTGGACGCACCTCCTGGACCCAGGGGTGCGATCTGCACGCTAGCGGATAGGAGGGGGGGCGATTGTTCGCCACCACCACCCGGAGCCTTTGCGAAAGGCTCCTAGCCATGGAGCTTTTGGAGGGTGGCCTCTTCACCAGTGCATTGCTGGGGAATTGAGGCACTCTCCCACCCCGACGGTCCTGCTGCTATGCGTCCAAATGGAACTAGAGCAGCTGACTGGGACAAGCACTGGAGATCGAGCGTTTTAAACAGACTTTAAGCGAGGTCTTATGACCAACAACGAACAGTGAGTCGAGTAAAAGCGAAATGCCAGTAATTTAAGAAGAAAGCCCTCCCCTGGGAACAGCGAGAAAAGCGAGCGGGGGAGGGGCCCGTCCCATACGCATAAACTAAAAAGTGAGCTAACAAGGGGGAGAGCGGAAGTTAAAGCACTGAAATCTGTTTTAAGAAACTTACCAGAGCGCGGATAAGCATATGGGCGAATTTCAGAGACTTTAGCAAGTGTATACAAAAGTAAACAATCCATAAAAATGGCGTGGAAAAAACGGAGAGAGAAAAACAAGCAAAAGTGAAACTGTCAGGAAGCATGAGCCCACGACCGGAAGAGACCACTGAGTTCTCTAAGCTTTTGGCAGACTCTTTGCGCCCTCTACTGGATCAGATTACTAACATCAATCAATAGCTGACAACTTTAAATCAGAACTTTGCAGCTCAGCAGCTCCAACTGTTTGAAACTACAAAAAAGACAGAGCAAACAGCTGAGAAAGTAAAGGAAATGGATGCCAACGCTAAAAAAGTTAAGAAAAAGGTGCAAATGCTGGAAAAGAAGCAAGCTTTGGATGAATTTCAACTTTTAAAATTGCAAATGGAGAAAGCTAACCTGGTCCTCCGGTTCCAAGGGGTCCCTGAATTTAAAGATGAGAATCTAAAACAACTTTTGAGCGATGAATTAACTCCAGTTACAGATTTAAAAGCGGAATATCTTATAAGTGAAATGGACATGGTCTACAGGGCCTATTCCGTTTATTTCAAAAAAACCAATCTGCCTGTAGAGATACTGGTGAGATTCTCAAAGAGACATGTAAGGGATTTAATCCTGAAAGCGACTTCAGGAACACCACTGAAAATTGGAGGCAATACTATTAGGATTTTAAAAGATATTCCATTTGAAATAAGGAAGAAGAGAAAGAAGTACAAGGACTTCATCCTCTTTCTACAAACAAATAGTGTTGCATACAGATGGTTGACCCCGGAATGCGTTATTTTCAAACTACAGGATAAAAAAGAAAAGATTGCCTCTGTTTCCAAAGCATATGAGTTTATGAGACTGCAACTGGGTGAACCAGAAGAGGATGCCAAGGAAGAAGATGACAGCAAATTTAGTGATGAAATGGATTCAGTGTCTTCCGAAGAGGACTCTGCTTCAGAAAAGGGGGCGGCGGCCCCTAAACAAGAATACCAATTGAGGATTAGAAAAGATAAAGCAAAGTGAAGGCTGAAGAACTCTGAATGGTGCCTTAAAGCATATACTATAAATGATGCTCTTGGGGTTGTCTTTAAACAGTTTTAAAAAATGGTTAAAAAGATAATTTAGCTTAATCGACTATGTTCAATGTAATACTAGCATCTTAGTTTAACACTTATATAAGCTGATGTAATGATCTCCTATACTTGGGGTTTTAGTTATTAGTGGTTTTCTTTCCTTTCTCCCTAGACAACCCTTCACCTTTTTTCGTTGTAGTTTGTAGTTTATAGAAAATGCAATAAAAATTCCCCTCCGGGGGGCATAAAAAGAAAAAAAAAGTCTTGTGCTTCTTAAAGATCAGGAGAGAGGAACAGGGGTGGAGGTTCAGAAGAAATGAGTTCCACATTGAGGGACCCTGAATGGACAGCAAAGATCTCATTAACCTCTAATTTATGGTGCAATTGGTAGTATATGGGCTATGATCTGAAAGATGGAATGTGATGGAAAGGCAAACTAGAATGTGGACAAAAAAGTCTGAAGGAAGAAACTATATTATATTTTGTTCTTAATCTGTACAATGTCTAGCATCATATTAACAACAATACACCACCACCATAATAATGATCGTTCTGGTCTGTCAACTACAATCACACCTAAACTGTCACCTACAATTACTCTTAGGACATATCCACATTCTCTTGCCCCTGAGAGTACTCCTATGTCAGTCCAAAATCTAACACTCAATTAATCATTTGTTAATAATAAGCACTTTATTGTTTGTTACACATAAACAGATTGCAGAAAGGTATAAAAAATTCTTGCAGTGACTTGGTAGCACTAAAACTGCTCTCTGAGGTAGGTATAAGAGAGGAGAGGAAGAGGCTCAGTGGTAGAACATCTGCTTGGTATGCCGAAGGTCCCCGGTTCAGTCCCTGGCATCTCCAGTTAATAGGGTTGCCAGCCTCCAGGTGGAGCCTGGAGATCTCCCACTTTTACAAGTGACCCCCAGCTGACAGAGATCAGTTCCCCTGGAGAAAATGGCTACTTTGAAGGGTCGACTCTATGGCACTGTACCATGATGAAGTCCCTCCCCTCCCCAAACCCCACCCTCTCCTAGATACCCTCCAGGTATTTTCCAACCAAGACCTGGCAACCCTACCAGTTAAAAGGCTCAAGGTAGTGTAGGCAGAGTTCAGGGAACAATCCAATCCACACTTGAAGTTAGCTTTCAATGAATTTACTGCAATAGGATTTTGCAAAGTAACTGCAATAACTGACTGCAGGCCACTAATACAACAGAAAGGTCTTCAGAGTACAAGCAGTAACACACAGCAGAGAAGAGAAAACAATAAAAGGTACACCGAACTGCAAGAAAAAACATTCAATAAACCCTTAACACTAGAGAATGCACCACAGCTCCCCCTAGGGTACAAGTGGACTCTTAGCAGGCTGTTGCTTGTCAGCAAGTAGTAGGTGATGTCAAAGACCCTCTGCCTGAGACCCTGGAGAGCTGCTGCCAGTCAGAGTAAACAACACTTAATAGGCCAATGGTCTGTTTCAGTATAAGATATAAGACGTCTTCATGTTACTTAGCCAATATTCCCACATTTCATTTTCAGATCTGAGAGTATTTTTCAAGAGCATTCTTGTATTGGGAAATTATGGCAGTTTCTTTGTCTCTAGCAGTTTGAACGATATTGGGTCATGCAGTTTCATTCCACTTATTACACTGCTCACTGCTCCGTCTCAGAGGAACAAGAGCATCTCTATTACAAACTATAGCAAGGAAGGTTTACTGGCAGCATAGATCCAGCCTATGGAATCATTTTATCTTCTCCCTCTGTCACTACCAGGAACTACTCATAACTTCACTTGTAATGAAAAGAAGAAATGAGTTGCTAAGGGTATCCCCTACTCATGTTGCTGTATTTTTATATTATATGCATGCTGGACAAGCAAAGTGTCCCTGCCAATCTATCTCTTGAAGGGATACTTCAGATCCAACCTCAAAGCCATGATTAAAACTTTATGATGTAACCAGAACAGATCAGACATTTCCAGCTCCCCCACTATTCCCTGGACAGTAGTTTGGTCCTCAAGAATACAGAAGATGGCCTGGCAATCTTGGAACTAACTGATGCAAAAGACGCCCACATTAAAAATGATGCAACTTCTTTTTATTTATTATAATTTAGACTTCTTACCCCATCATTTCTTCTGCAGTATGAGAGACAGATGCATCATAGAAAGGGTCCCCCAAGCTGCTAGCCAGAGCCAGAACTATTTTTAATGTCTACATGAAACAGAGAGGAAGAAAAAGAATGACAATATGAAGGTTTGGCTAAAGTTATGGATTGAATTAGATGAAATTACAGTTTATTTCATATAACTGGATCCCAAGATAGTCCTGACATTTTATTTTAAGTGTTCTTTTGTTAAGATGGACTTACTTGAAACTAATTATCAATCTCTCCGCAGGTAATGTATGCATTGCAGCTAATTAGGAAAAGAGGGAAGTACTCAGAATGGCTTAATAGAATCTGCAAACTGGCCATTATGATGAGATTAATATACTCTGTTAGATGTCCGGCTATAACTGAGAACAATGCAGACAAATTTGTTGAAAAGCAGCCACTGTATATTATTTATTGAAAGCAGTTACATATGACCTTTCTGTCAAGACCATCTCAGGCAATTTATAAATTAAAAACAATAAGGAGTAAAAAAAAAATTATCTCATGCTATCGGTTGCCTTCTTAAGAGCTGATGGTGCTGGGTGTCTCTCTTGCCTTCCCCTCGGAGCAGAAGCCTTGAAGGTGGGGGAGAGGTTGCCTCAGCTTCTCTCAGGCCCTTGATAGATCATTCAGGAGCTGATGACATGAATTTTATGTTGTGAAATAATATCTTTCAGGATAGTAGCTACCCATATGCCTTTTTAAGCATGTTATAAATAGTTGTGTGACTTTTAATGGCCTGGGTCCTATGCTGCATGCCTGCAGTTATTTTCTGCCCTCCCCCTTTTCACTGAAGGAGGAGGAAGAGGGGTGTTTTTTGTTCCTCCTCATTATGCGGTCTTTTGTCCATGTGAGTACCACATCCTCCACCATCAGCATTTCAGAGGTCTCAGGGGACTGCGGGCGGGGGGGGGGAGCAGGAATAAATCATATTCTCACATGTGCACTGGCTAAAATCCAAACCAAACTAATAGAAATTGGCAAAACAAAGAAAATATGGCCCTCACAACCTCCCTTTCCTTTATAAGAACAGTGAGGTGTACCTGCTCTCATGGGGAAAAGGTAAAGGTAAAGGTTCCCTTGCTCGAAAGCCAGTCAAATCCGACTCTAGGGTTGCGGTGCTCATCTCCATTTCAAAGCTGAAGAACCAGCGCTGTCCGAAGACGTTTCCGTGGTCATGTGGCCGGCATGACTAAACACCAAGGCGCGCGGAACGCTGTTACCTTCCCACCGAAGTGGTACCTATTTATCTACTTGCCATTTCTTGCTTTTGAACTGCTAGGTTGGCAGGAGCTGGGGCTAGAGACGGGAGCTCACTCCATCATGCGGCACACTCGGGCCTCGAACTGCTGAACTACTGACCTTCCACAGCCTGCAGTTCAGCGTCTTAACCACTTGAGCCACCGCAGGCAACCCGGAAAAAAGGTACAACTTCCTTTATTTCTACTGTATTCTTGCATAATCTTACATAATCTACTGTATTCTTGGACCTGCTTAACCCATGACATTTTTCCTGCATAAACTTCTCAAAAGGGTCTGTGTTGCCTTCCCACAAAGATACATCTTCGGAGGTCGCTGTGCGTTGCATCTTTATATGAGTACACACAGCAAAATAACCACAGTCGTGATTTTCCCACCTGACAATCCATAAAAAGGTAATTTTTGAGTAGACTCAAAAAAAAAAGTGTTGCTCAGACTTGCCATATATTTTATGGTTGATTTTAATCTGTAAAATTGCATTGCATAGTCCTTTTTGGTTGACAGGCAGTATTAAAGTGTTACACATAAAATTAAAATTTAAAAATATGCAATAAAGATTTATTTGACTTAGCCAGGGGCTGAATGACTATGTGTATAAATGAGGTCACTTCAACTAAGATATAAGGAGGGGCAAAGCTGTCGAGAGGTGGGGCCAGAGTTACAAAATTCTGAGGGTTCGGATCACCCTGGAGGTCCAGGGAACTGGACAAGGCACTGCTCAGTGATAGGAGAAGAGTATCTGTTCTGCTCAAGGATCTTGTATGTGAGGTTTGAAACAGAAGTGGGAACCCAGAGGGTAACTTTGTTTGAGGGCCCACTGTGACCCTCCATAGCACTTACGCTTGGCCACCGGTGTCTCCACAATAATTTTTTTTCTAATTTGTTACTGACTATATTTCTAACTAAACAAAGTTTGGGTCCAGTGGCACCTTTAAGACCAACAAAGTTTAATTCTGGGTATAAGCTTTCGTGTGCATGCAGACTTCATCAGATACATTGAAACAGTTTTCTTCAAGCTTTACATATAAGTAGAGAGAAGGGGGGGGGGTGTTAGTCGCCAGGAAGGGCTTGTTAGAGTCAAGATGCATAAGCAACTGGGAAATAAATACAGCTGAGATTGGATTAAAGCAACTGGTAGACCTATGAATGTTTCAGTGTATCTGATGAAGTGTGCATGCACACAAAGCTTATGCCCAGGATTAAACTTAATTGGTCTTAAAGGTGCCACTGGATTCAAACTTTGCTCTGTTGCTTCAGACAAACATGACTACCCACCTGAATCTATATTTCCAACTGTATGTAAGATAATTAGCTAAAGTATAGTTTCCTAACAAAAAATGGTTGGGAGGGGCTTTTTGAAGCCTTATGGAAGGTGGAATCATGAGTTCTATTGATTAAAAGTATAAGAGATATGCCACAAGGAGGTGCTTTTGGCCAGTGTATGACTGCTGATATATGATTGCCTCAAAAGAGAATCAAAAAGATGACAAGAAAGATGACAGAGAAGGAGGTCAATTTTCTTGTCCAAAAATCTTACATTTGACTGAAAACAATACTGACTTGGAGCAAAGCCATTTTAGTATAAATATTCACCATCAACAATATTAGCATAGCAATTGTTATCATTTTATATCTTAATATATTATTTGTTAAACTGTATATATATCCAGTTCTTCTACCAAAGGCAGCTTTTTAAAAAACTGTAAAATATATTTTAAAATATACTACTAGTCGGACTCGACTGTGCGACTGAACAACAAAAAATCCTCATTAAATATAATGCTACCATTTGCTACCATTTAAAGTTTTCCCCTATAAACCTAATTGAATTCCCTATAAGAATCTGAGAACAGAAGGCCCTATTGCTTGCAGCTGCTGATGTGACCTTGGGGCAGTCACAAGCTCTGGCACAGCTGTCCTTGAAAAAGAGCAGTTTCCGTCAGAGTTCTCTCAGCCCCACCCACCTCACAGGGTGTCTGTTGTGGGGAGGGGAAGGGAAAGGAGTTTGTAAGCCGCTCTGAGACTCCCAAGTGAAGGGCGGGGTATAAATCCAATCTCTTCTTATTATTATTACCAAAAACAAGACACATTGATACATAGATAAGGGGGGTCTTACCTCTGCCATCCAGTGGAGAATATTTTCCCTGGCTACCTGGCTGGTGATATTGAAACCTTCAAGGATGTTCAGAGCTGTGATCAGTGCAGGGCCTACATGTGGAGGGGATGGGCTGAGAACGAGATGACCTGTGAAGGCACATCAACAAAAGAAAAGCTGCAGATAAGTTAATTCCCCCCCAGCTTTCAGCCACAATCTAAAGAGCCATGGAACTAGGTCAGTGAGCCCAAGGGGACTTCAGATTAGAGTCCCCCCCCCCCCCCCCCCACGCCCCCCCCCAGCCTGGCAAACGATGGCCCACTCTGCATCTAGCATTCGCTCCGCTGTTTTACCAAACCCACTGTTGGAACAGAAATTCCCCTCTACATTGCATGCCACTTTCACTTTGTCTGATTTTATGGCAGTGTCCAGGCTGCATGCCAGCTTTCACTTAGTTTGATCTCTCAGTTTTATGGTATGGTCTGCATAGATTTGTGGCAGTTTTATGGCCATTCAGGGGTGATTTCGCAGTCAGTATGGCATTGGCCCGGGGTATTTGAATGTGGTTTTGAGCCGTATCTTTTCCTGTTCCAGTGTGGGTTTGATAAAACAACAGAGTGAATGCTCGATGCAGAATGGGCCAAAGTTTGAAACTCGGTGCCATTTCAAAAGCAGTTTGTGATATGACAAAGCAATCCGCTGTTCAAAGGGTGAAAAAGTTAAAACTACCACTAGGTTAATGGAAGCTTTTTGCAAAACCCAAAGCAGCTTATTGGATCCTCCCTAAAAAAGAAAAAGAAGAAAACCTCCTGGCTGGAGAGTCTCCAATTTGCCGATTATGGATGTGGTGATAGTGCTACAGTGTTCATGCTGGAGCTGGTAACCAGCGTTTACAGTATCTATACTCATTAGAAGCTTAGGCTTTCAAAAATAGGACAGGCTGATCAAAACCTGGGTAGGAACCTCAGGCAGACCAGTAGTGGCTAAGAGGTGGAACATCTGCTTGACATGCAGAAGGTCTCAAGCTCAATTCCCAATGTCTCCAGTTAAAGGGACCAGGTAGTAGATGATGTGAAAGACCTGAGACCCTCAAAAGCTTGATAGCCAATGGTCGCTATAAGCTGGCTTCATGTGTTCATATGTTCTCAAGCCGCAAGCAATGACAGAGGGATCTGTTATGATAAAGGAATACAAGATACCTTGATTAACACACAAGAGGCACTTGTCTCCAGATAAGTTACCCTCTTTCCTGGAAATGAAACCATACATTCTTCTGATTTCAGGCTGAAAGGATATGAGTTCCCTTTATGGAGACAAATGGGAAGGGCAAAGATCACCATTTGCCCAGAAGGAAGACAGATCACTGTTTTGCTGAGTTGGGCCATAAATGTATTTATTTAGTTTGGTTAGTAAATGCCAGAGACATGTACCACTTTATGATTGGATAGAGGGGCCATGGCAGAAATCGGGGAAAACTCAGCCCCCAGCCCAGAATAGTTCAAAGAGGACCCTCCCCAACTGGGGGAAAGGATTAAAAAGCTTAGCACACTCTTGCCTTGGGTAAGGAGAGCAGGAGGCAGATCAAGGGTGTACGGGTTCCTTTATCTAAGCAGTGGTTCTTCATGAGATATTTTGTACTTGAGCTGCGTGGCTCAAGTGGTTAAGATGCTGAACTGCAGGCTGTGGAAGGTTGGTAGTTCAGCAGTTCATGACCCGAGTTGCCACACAACGGAGTGAGCTCCCATCTCTAGTTCCAGCTCCTGCCAAACTAGCAGTTTGAAAGCAAGAAATTGCAAGGAGATAAATAGGTACCACTTTGGTGGGAAGGTAACAGCGTTCCGTGCGCCTTGGTGTTTAGTCATGCTGACCACGGAAACGTCTTCGGACAGCGCTGGCTCTTCGGCTTCGAAACGGAGATGAGCACCGCAACCCTAGAGTCGGATTCGACTGGCTTTCGAGCAAGGGAACCTTTACCTTTACTTTACAGATATCATAGTACACGCAGAGTGAAGACACATGAAGCTACCTCATATTTTTAGTTAGACCACTGGTCTATTGAAATCAGTGTTGCCTGCTCTGACTGACAGCAGCACATCACCCCTTGATCCTTTTAACTGGAGGTGGTGGGGATATAATCTGGAATACACGCTATGACTGAGCCATGGCCCTACCTACAAATATAGAATACAATCTAAATACAAAACATACCACATTAATTATAAAAGAAAAAAATATGAAAGGTCAAGCTACATACATCTCTCAAGTGGGTCTTTTCCATTTAAAATAAGGAGGGACCACTCACTTCATTTTTAATGGCAGAATTCAACCCAAAGTATTAGCATTCAAACACGGCCAGATTCTCTAAGAATATCTCGGTGACAGAAGCATGCATTCTGCAGCATTCCTTCTGTAACACCCCCCAAATTTCTGAGCTAGGGCCTTCGTTGGTCCATATGAAACTCTACTTATTTCCATCAGCTAAGGTTCTCTTGTCCAGTGGAGCTATACCAGCATAAATAAAGTCCAAAGAATAACAGCCCTATTGTAACCTCTTACTGAATTCTGATGGATTCATTCTCACAGGATTCCCATTAGAAGTAAATATGCATAGAGGTACAAGTTAAAGGTTAAGACAGTAGTATTGTAAAGACAGAGCAGCCCAGTTTAAATGAGATCCTGTGTAAATGGGAAGTCCTTCAAAATATAACTTTTGCCTCACTGGTTTTATGTTAAACTCAGTTCTGAGATAGTGGTATGTGTTGAGAATATGTGAATGAGAAGAAGGGGGAAATGGATAAGCAGAAGTTATGTAAAAAAACCCATCCATGTTATCTTAGGTTTGTTGGAGAGGAAACAGTGTATTAGCAGTTTTTGTTAGCTTATAGACTGATATTGGGCTCGTATTGCAACTCTAGGGGGAGATGTAGTGTACACTCTCTACTATTCAGAGTTGCTTTGCTTGCCTCTTGTTGTTGATCTTTATGCTTAGAAGAGTTAATACCTGTATCTTGAAGGCCCTTCTGTTATTAAAAAGCCTACAGTCAGTTAACGTCTTTTTTGCAAGTCCTGTTGGAGTAAACTTCATTGAAAGCAACTCTGAAGTATGGGACTAGATTATTTCCCAGCTCTGCTAACAAAAACAATCCAGCACCCCATCTAAAATAAATATTTCATATCAGAGGCAGACTTGATTTAGTATGACAACAGCTAATTTGCAGAATCCGTGCCATAATACTTCAGCCTTTCTTTTGTTCTGATATAAGGCTCTCTTTCTGCAAACCCAAAATCAGGAGACTTCTGAACGAGCCACATGGTGTTTAGGAAACACCAATACAGATGTCACAGTTTACCTTGGTATATTGTATGGACTGGACTTTCCATCAAGACAGTGTAGTTACTAAAGTCTTCTTCTGACAAGATACCACCAAAATTACGAACCTAGACAGAGGATCACAGGAACAGATTTGCAGTAGGTTAATGACATCGTTTGCTAATCGAAAGGACATTGAACACTTTCTGGGTGGGATCCAACCAACTTTTTCACTGGAGAAAAAGCATGGAAAGAGTCCCTTCTGACTACCAAAATGGTTATGCTGGTGATCATGGGACCAGCCTGGCCAAAAAGCACGTGGGACAGGTAGCTGTCGTTAAGAGGGAAATAATGGGAGACTGAATGAAAAAGCTGGCTGAATCTGACCCTTTATGCTAAGTGAACAACTCCTATTTTCTTGTTAAGGTATCTTTCAGAGCTTCCAAAACTGCCTGAAAGGAATTCATAATGTCATACCTTTTTTATTACAGATTAGTGGTTTCTAAATCTACATTCAGAGAACCCATTCCATGTCAACCTGTTTGCCAAACAACTTTGGCACACTACAAGGGATTTGAGGTCACGTTCTGGAGGGGGCACACTAGCCAGAGCAGCGAGTTCTCAACTACAGCACACACTAGGATGTTCATTATGGAAGAAGGTAAGCAGTGGTTGTCAAGCTGTCTTTCAGGGATTTTTGTCCATCGTGACTGCTTTCCTCAATAAGGATCCCTTGACAAGCTTCTGAGGATCCACAGTCACCCAGAAAACAGTCTGGAAATCACTGTTCTAGATTAATTAATTTGAAATGTATCAAAATCTTCTCATATCCACTTACTGGCAGAATTAGCACAGCCACAACAAAACATATTATTCGGTTTACCAAGAATAAGCTTAATTTTGCTCATCAGCTCAGGATGATGCAAGGTTTCAAAAAATTAGCTCAATGTCTTCCCGCAATCCTATGTTAATATATATATACAAGGGGCGGGACCCGCGATTCTCGCGGGGGGGGGCGCTCCACACCTATCAGGAAGACGAGGAAGCAGCAGGAGGAGGTAAGTTCCCCCCCATCCTGCCGGCTCCCCCCCGGCTCCTCCACCCCCCCGGCTCGCTCTCCCCCCCCGCCCAAAAACTCGCTGGTCTCTCCCCCCCAGCTCCAAAGCGGCGGCGGTGAGGCAGTCTGCAGAGCGTCCCCTGCGCATGCGCAGGGGACGCTCTGTTGCTTTTGGGGGGATTTAAGTATCCCCCCAATATTTTTTTCAGATTTTTGTGCACATCTAGGGACTGCCCCAAGTGTGCACGAAAATCTCCCTCCCCTCCAAGTGTCCCCGATGTGCGGATTTAGGTATCCGCACGCCAGGGGGCAACTTCAGTATTAGTATATAGATATATGTGTGTGTGTGTGTGTTGTTACACAGCCAATACAGGTTAAAATTAATTAATATATATTTGTTAATATATATGTGTGTGTATGTATCGTTACACAGCCAATGCAGGTTAGAATTATCATTCTGTTCTGCAAATCTTAATTGAAGAAGATTATTCATTTTAAGTGCGCTCTTTAAGTGCTCTGGACAATATGTGTGGTTAAACAATTCTACAGTGCTCAGTAGCCCAAAGTGATCCTATGACTATCCTTAAGGGGCCAAACTAGACAATAATGGCATCTATGGGTCTGACCCATGGATGACAATGCCATGAATTAAAAATGCCACGAGGGCCTAATTGGGCTTGCAGTGAGGTGCTCTTGTTTCTCTCTGTGCTTTATCAAGTGCTCATACAGCTGCAGGGATGGGGCAAAGGGCAGAAGAACACCTCAACCTGCCATGCTGCAGGCCCTATTCGCATTTTTAAATCCTTTTAAATGGCAGTGGTGTCCATGGGTCAGACCTGCGGAAGCTGTTACGTCTAGTTTGGCCCAAGGATACTAATCAATGGATTTATGTTAGAACTGAAAGGAGGAGTTTTTAATGGAATTCAGCTATTTAATGTGTTCATTTTCCTCCTCTTTGATAACAGGAAACATAACATCAAATGCTATCAGTGTTGTTACTGGCACAAGAGTGAGATGGGGTTGATTTTGCTTCATTCCCTCCTTTGCTGCAGCTATCCTTTGTCTTTATCCATGCAAGTCTCACCAGCCCTCTTGTGTCTGAGGGGTGTCCAAAGGGACTGGGGGAAGGGAAAACAGGGAATGATCAGCTTCTACCAGAAAAAAAGCTGGTAGGCTCCAACCCAAAGTATTAATATTCAAACACTACCATAATCTTTAAATATCTCAATAGTAAAAGTACACATTCTGGACCACTTCTTCTAAAATGTCCTGAAAACAAGGATCTTAGAGGTCCATACCAAAATCTACTTATTGTCATCAGGTACTGTTCTTTTTTTTCCAGAGGAACAATGCCAGCATGGGCCTGTTATTGAATTCAGTGGTACTAGTTCCCATAGAATTCCTATCACAAAGGAATGTGTACAGAATTACAAGCTAAACATGAAGACAGTAGTATTATAAAGAGAGAATTTATAGGGGTCCCTCAGCCACTGAAGACATCCTGATTGCAGGTCAAAATGGGACATGCAATTTTTCAATTAATGGCACTAGCTTATACTTGCCCTTCCCTCTGTCTGGTTATTTTTATATTTAATGAAGTTCAAAGCATGGCCCCAATGGCCAGCCATGCAGACAGTGATCTGGTCTGCACCTATCTAGCTTCAACAATGCTTCTGCATCGTGTGCTCCCACATCATTTATAGTGCTGCTTCCTAAATTGGAGCCTAGTGCTCAGTTTTAATATTTTTTTTAATGAGACATGAATTTGTCATCATGTTGGTATCCAAAAACAATGTGATTTCTAGCGCACTTTGTCCATGGCAGCCTGGAGGTCTCCTTCAAGCTCTATGATTCTATGATATGGTTGCATTCAGATTTCATGACAAACCTAAAGCTTGTCTTTGGTGGGCTTATTCTTGTGCTCATACACTCCCCTCTCCTATGTTCACACAAACAGCACAACTGAAATCTTGCTGATTTGGACAACCTTCAGTGGCCAAACTCTAATTTGCCACCAAATGCAAATGCCAGCACTCTTGTCCCTTTCGTAAGCTGCCTTGGGAATCTACAGTTGATTAATTAAAATGGAGCCAAACACACAAATCATCCTTTATTCAGGACATTTTTATTACAAAGCAAAACACACCTATGGGGGCATCACTGGCTATCTGGAATCAAATGATAAAATGGTCCACACACTGAAAATAACTGAGATGACTCACCTCAGAAATGATCTCTTCTGTTACATTTCCACTGTAGAAAACTGAGACCCCTCTTGACCCGAGCAAGTTTAAAAGAGCAGCCAAGTCTGGTCTTTTCATAAACGTACCAGGCAACAAAGGCTGTCCATCTGGAAGAAAGGTGTTTCTGAATTTTTCGGAGTAATTGTGCTGTTGCCTCACTTCTTCAATTGCCATAGCTAAGACAACAGGAAAGAGAGACCAACAGAAGAATAAATGACTACAGAAGATTCCCAGTTCAACTCAGGACAGAAATCTAGGAAAGCTGAGCCCAGGATTGTCATAAATCCTCTATTTTGTTAGTCTTTATCTCTCCCCTGTTCTATCTTGATGACTAGCTGTCCTTTGCCACTCACATCAGGCCAGATCATGAATTTTGTGATATCTCTAATTGCTGATTGATATATTACAACATCCTCAAAGATCTCTGGCTGCCATGTTTACTTTTGGTCAGATGTGAGCTGGGAGTTCCCCAATGGGAATTTCATTCCCATGGGCATGTAGTCTCAATTCAGATCGGGCACTGAGAAAGGATTTCAGTCTTCCCCACAGTGTTTTTCCAACCTGAAATGGTCCTGGGTAGCCACTCTTTGCCCTGTTGGGCTGCTTGAGGATGTTTTTGATCAGGACAATTATGCAGGGGGAAGGCTAAGGCCCCTTCCCTCCACATGCTGTGGTCCCAATCCAAACTGGGCCCGTGCACTCCTTGGACATAAGTTCCCAGTGGTGAAATCCAAGAACACATCCGTTGACAGCTATAATGGCAACCATGAGAACTTTGTAACATGTGAATCAGTCTTACAGTGGGCAGGATCACCCCACTTTGATCTCATCGTACTCACCGGAGACAATGGCAACTTCAGAGAAAAACAAGCCTATCTAGCTACCACCCCTCGGTCAATGAATCAAGACCTCTCATGCTTGTACTTAAATACAAAAAGATCTGGCTGTCTTAGTGCTGAAGCCTTACCAAAGAAAGTACTAGAGCCCACAATAGCATTTTCAGCTAAAGGTTTCTTAAGTCCGTAGTGACCTGTTTTGGAATGGCTACACTCAGCACTCTAAGATTTAACTCCTACAGACTTGGAGGAAGGAGCTCAACCCCAAAGAATGACAACTCTCACAATTCATACTAAAATTTTAACCAAAAAACACTGATGGAACTCTGCTCCATATGCTTATCTATTTCCCTCTTGAAGCCGTCCATGCTTGTAGCCGCCACCACCTCCTGTGGCAGTGAATTCCATGTGTTAATCACTCTTTGGGTGAAGAAGTATTTCCTTTTATCTGTTCTAACCCAACTGCTCGGCAATTTCATGGAGTGCCCACGAATATGCTATAATGGTATATTGTAGCTTGAAATATGCTATAATGGTGTATTGTTTCTACACATGTCAAGGAATTTGCTCTGGTCCCTAAAACACTAGATGTGCTCCATCAGATTTTATTATTTAAGGTTTTGTTGTTTTTTAAAAATCCACTTTCCACTGGTCTATATTGCTACCATCTGTGCATGAAAGGTGCATGGACTTTTTTTTAGCATTTGTTTCTGAAGCTTCTGTCAACCATTGGAAAGGTGATTCCCAGAGTCAATGGACCTGTGTGGAGCAATAGGCACAATTGTGCTGGTTGCTGCCAGGAGAGGGTGTGTGTGTGAAACTGTCCCCTCTTAGTGGAACTCACATATCTGTGAGTTAAGTTTCAAAAGTCAATGGGAGCTCCCAACATGGAACTCCCATTGCACATGTGATTTGAGACATGACTCAGGGCAGACCCAGAAACACTGTAGTTAGGCCCTGAGGCTAAGACCACCTAGTGAATTTAGGTGTGAGATGAGATTTGCACTGGCAGTTTCTGAGACCATTTTGCTGTACCAGCTCTAACAACTTTTTTTTGCCTTGTACCGCGTTTCCATGAATGCACTCACCTAAGTCATGTGTGACATTGAATCCATCCTCAGCCACATCCGCAGCAAAGCCCAGCAGCTGTCTCCAGGGCAGTCTGGCAAACAAGGAAACATCGGCATGACTGGCAATCCCCAAGCAGAATCCAACAGTTAAGATAAAGCAGGCTGAAAATGCAACCCAGCAAATAATTGATAACAGAAATTTCAAGATAAATTCATGATCTGAATAGAACAGAGACTAGCAAAAGCCAGGTCTCTGAGGAGCTTTCGGAGCCACTTCACACATTTGCATGGCATGACAACGAAACTGTGCTTGGCACAGTATATACAGCTAGTTTTAGTTCCCTTGACAGTTTGCCTATGTAAAATACACACATACCGATGTATTTGTCACATTCACATGTTTTATTCTTATGTGTACAGGTAACCCATTTTATAGGAACACCTTAAAATATGATGTGTGAAATGGATCTTACCACTGCCAACCATATACATTAACTTGGATGGAATATAAACCTGTACAGTGTTTATATGCATTGTTATGACATGTTCTTCCTGGAAGACTTCTTTCAGTCTTTCCCATTGGGCCTGGCCATGGAATGCAACAAGCATGGGAAATGTTCTTACCTTCCATAAGACTGATGTGCTTCGTGGAGTCCTTTCATCATGCCTGGAACCCCAACCAAGAGACCCAGCTGGACAAAAAGGAAAGACACAGCAAAAGAGTATTGAGCTCTATAAGGGCACCAATCTGACAAGTTAAGTGGGATATAAAATGTTAACTCCCATGGAAAACAAGAAGGATGATGTATGGAGGAGATACCATTTTAATGCAGATATGCCCTCATGGGATTGAAAATACTAGAAATATCACCAACAGTGCGATCTACTTTCCCAAGAGTAAGACTTCAATAGGATTCTGAGAAGACCTGCTTAAGATTACACTGCAAGGGTCCAACAAAGTTGGGGTATGCCTCTGGTCCAACAAAGTTGGACCCTTAAGGTCCAACAAAGGGTCCAACAAAGGGTCCAACAAAGTTGGGGTATGCCTCTGTTCACAGCGTTTATATTCTTATTACAAGGAACCAAGACAGGTACATTTTGGAAGATTAATGAAGATTTTTACCAATTACTACCCTGCCCCAAAACAGTAAAGGCCCTCTCACACCTTTGTTTCCCAAGCCTTCCTAAGGCCCTCTTCTTGGATGCTGAAGGGGGCGGTCTCTCGGAAATCAATCACCCGGCTCTCGTTCTTCCTGATGTCATGAACCAGCATTACTCCTCCACTGCAACAACAGAGCCATACAAGAGTGAAACACATATTGAGAATGTTTTTCCAGCTATGGGATGATTTCCTGTGTTGTGCTCCAGGACAAAGAACCTGCTCCACGTACTTATAGCATCCTAAAACTGTCCCTAAATTGCCCTGGCTTTTATTGATTACTACTATATTTTATTGCTTTTTAGTGTGCTTTAACTTCATCTTATTGTACTTTACTGGCTATTTATTGATTTTCATTGCAGTTTATTGTGTTATAAACCATCTTGGGACATTTTAAGTTTTAAGAATAATCTACAAATAAACTACCAATGATCTGTTTAGACTTCAGTTCCCCGTCTCTATACCTGCTTCCCATATTTCCCTGTGTTTCTACAAGACAGCACATCAAATGAGAGGAATTTCCAATTCATGTTCAGGATCTGAAGAGAATGAAAGTACCCACCAATGAGCAAGTTGTAGTCGTCCTTTTTATGGACTGGGAATGCCAGTTTATCACTCTCACTGCTCAGTGGCAATGCACATGCACCAGTCTGGTTTTCACATGGGGACAGGCTTATGTGGTTTCCCTGTTGCTGCTGCAGTATAGCAACAACAGGGCTTCCACATGACAAGTTTCCCTGCTCCAGTTCCCTGGCAGAAAATAATGCAGGGCAAAAAAAATCCCTGAAGGACCAGCTACTCCATTATGAACTTACCCAACTACTGCAGTCATCTTCGAAGAGCCTGCATTGGGTGCCTTCCAATGTTCCCTCTAGGCCGTGGAGTCTTGTGAGCAAAAATTCCACTTTGTGAGCGACGGGCATCAAAGTTGTGAGCGAGCGACTTGGCTACTGCATAAATTAGGTTACTCTGGAGCCCTCCTTCATGAGCTAAGACAAAAATGTGTGAGCCGGAGGCTAAAAAACTGTGAGCCAGCTCACACTAACTCAGCTTAGAGGGAACACTGCCTTCTGAAATTAGGTGGGTGGCAAGCCAGAAGGGGGTCTTCTCAGTAGGGGCACCAAAACTCTGGATATCTCTAACCAGGAAGGTTTGCCTGTCACCTTCTGTTGCCATCTTCCACTAACAGGTTAAGACTTTTTTTTGTTTTGCTTGGCATTCCCTTGGTGATCCATCCTTCCTCCATAACGTTTTAACTGTTCTTTTTAGCTTTTGTACTTATTTTAAGCTCTGGTTTAAAATTGTTTCAATGATATGTTTGTGTGTTGGTTTTGATGGCTTTTAAGATGGGATTTTAATGTACATGTTTTAATTTGCTAGCCACCCTGGTGGCTTTATGAGGGCAGAAAGGCAGGGTAAAAGTCTTGTTTAAAAACACACTCACACATACACCTGTGTTTAACAGACCTAGTCTAGGACTGACTCAGCATCAGTCCATTTGGAAGAAGTAGTCCACCACATTTTCATTTGGGAGACAGTTGTGCCACTCTGTCTCCTCCAATTCTGCAACACTGGTGGTTATGATCAGTAGTTTGGTCTTGACAAAACCAGGTATGTCTCTAGCATAATATTTCAATCAAAGAACTTTGGTCTTCTAAATATCCTGCACCTAGCTCTAACCTGGATAGCCCAGGCAAGCCCAATCTTGTCAAATCTTGGAAGTTAAGCAGGGCCAACTCTGGCAAGTATTTGGATGGGAGACCTCCAGAGAATACCAGGGACAGGAGGCCAGAGGCAGGCTATCAAGTCACTTCTCTGAATGTCCTCTAGGAGTTGCCAGAAGTCACCATGACTTCCAGGCACAGGCACACACACAAAAATGCAAAACAAAAAAAAATATCCCACCACCTTTCCTTATGGGTCCCCTCTTTCTAGCAACAGGTGTGTGCATCACCAGTAGTTGTATCATGAAAGCACAAATTAGTTTCAGTAAAAAAGCTACCTACCTACAGCTCCCTGCCCAATTTCCCAAACAAAATGTGAACTGGCTTGTGTTGTTTTTCTGTCGATGGCCAGGAGTGAACCAAGCCATTGTGCTGTACCAGTGCCCTCTTCATTGTGCTACTCCCAGTAGACCTTTGGGTGTCTTGGCTGAAGAACTATTCCTGAGTGTGTGACTCACTCATACAGTATAACTCCTACAGCAGGGTAAAGTGAGTCTAATTTCTGGAAGGTCCACATTGAAAACACCCCCCACCCCACCCCACCCCAAAAGGGGGCAGTCAGAATTCTTTCATATTTATACCATTTTTAGACTGTCATAGTTCCATACAGGACTTAGTATGAACAGGAAAGAAGCTTAATATGTACTACTCTACTTAAGCCATAGGTGTTCACCTGATACTTTAATCCCCAATTAAAATTGACCAAATTGGTGCATGAAGTCAGCTGGTACTTAAATGCACTCTCAGTTAGCCTGATCCTTTATGGGAATTTTTTTGGTATTTTTATTTTTAATCCTGAGCATGAATTTTTATTAAGCAGCTTTGGAACCAAACTAGGGCTTCCAATTTCAACAAAAGTTTTCTGAAATCCCATCTGATGGACCATTATCGAGTAACACTGTTTATGTAACACACCCTGGAACTTCCTGGTGCTCTCGCCACCTAAAACTTCAGATTGCTCTTGCATAATGCCTTTTTAAAACAAACACCATGATAGAGGAAGGGAGGTAACAGTTCTGGGCAATGAGCCAGGCTTATAGACAGCAGAGGCTGATGAAATGGGCAGCTAAATTTGGCCTTAATGAGTGCAGAAACTGTGCAGTTTACATTCTTTAATGCCAAGGACAACCAATTTATGCCAGATTACAGGACCAATGCTCATCTTTTAGATGAGCTACAAATTAATTTTTCCACAGTTTTATTTTATTTATTTAACTCCTTCCAGGGTACCGGCAGCAAAGTTCCAAATATTAAGTTTGGCTCTGTTTAAAATTATGACTGGCGATAGGTCATTTGTCCAACTGGAACCTGAGCTCCTGCAGTATGGATGACCACCACGGAGACATGGAGACACGTCAGAAGTTTGGATAACACCCAATTTGCCTCAAGGCACATCCAGACTACTCTGATTCTGGGAACTGGATTTATCTTTCCAACACTTCCAGTCTCTGTGGTCCAAACATGTGGGATATTTCAGCACATTATAATCTACCACCAGACCACCTAAATACCCTTCCACATTTCACAGTTAAAAATAGGGACATTCTTATAATGCTCTCATTCTCACACTAAGATCATTTCATGTCCCAGTCCCACCCTTTATTTATGTACTCTATTCTGTAGTCATTCCTCTGTCTTCCCTTCCCTTCCATTAAATTAAAAGCCAAGACATTGATGATATTTTTGGATAGCTATGTTAGAAAAACATAATCACCTCACAATATTTTATCAGAAATGTAGTATAGATTACAGCAGTTGCAGTGTGAGAAATGGTATCCTTGCATGGACCTTTACATGGATGTGTGCAAGAGACAAAGAGAGGGCTCCCATTCAAGGACTGCAGATACTCCTGGCTTTCCATTTCTCAGCAGAGTGCCACTGATGGAAAAGGTGGAAGGGAGTGATTTTACCCCCTTCTCCCTGCTAACTTCAGCCTGTATGGCTATTACTTCATGTGGGTCCTACGACCCTGAGAATAAACTTCCCTATGGCTGGAAAGGACTCCTGGGCAGAGGGGAACTCACTGGCAGTCTTTAAGCGGCAACTGGACAAACACTTGTCAGGGATGCTCTAGGCTGATCCTGCATTGAGCAGAGGGTTGGACTAGATGGCCTGTATGGCCCCTTCCAACTCTGAGATTCTTTGATTCTATGAGGGCTGGTGTGTCTTCTTAGGCAGCCTTAGGCAATTGTCTAGGGCACCAACCATGGAGGAGCGCCAACCAGCTATGTCATGCACTCCCTTGCCAGCCCAAAGCATCCAGTCTGCCAAGTGGCAGCCCAGGAGATATTCCTACTGCCCAGTGTGCAGACCAGAGGTCATTTCGAGGGGGATCGCGAGGGAGACTACTCTCTCCCAGCTCCCAGACCTTCTCATTCTTCCTTCACTGCTTCACATGGTTGCTCTGCTGGAGGTCTATTGTGATGGCTTCCTGCCTGGTCCAAAGCTTGGGGGGGGGGAGTGAGGGGTTGGAGGGGCGAGGAGCACTGTGTGCCTCTGTGCTAGTAGGCAGCTTAGCAGGACCTATCGAAGGGGGAGAGCAGGAGGGGCATTTGGCTGAGGTGCCACTCTTATAGAGAGCCTCAAATTTAGACTTCTGATACTTTCTCCAAATGAAGTTATACATACAATTGCATACTGGGAGCCTCAAAAAATGGAAGTGGCCCAGGCTTCTCTCGACTTTTGAGGAGCCCTGGGTGTTGAAGAGGGCAAACACTGCCTTGCCTCACTCTGGGGCAAGTGGGAGGTGAAGAGGCGAGCGCTGTGTCCCACAGTGCATGGGGGCTTGGGCCTCCAAATTGCCTAGGGTCATTAAAATCATTGGCCTGGCCCTGGGGAACACCGGGAAGATCAGTGTTCGTCAATCTGTGCTAGTAGGCAGCTTAGCAGGACCTATCGAAGGGGGAGAGCAGGAGGAGCATTTGGCTGAGGTGCCACACTCGTAGAGAGCCTCAAATTTAGACTTCTGATATTATCTCCAAATGAAGTTATACATATAATTGCATACTGGGAGCCTCAAAAAATGGAAGTGGCCCAGGCTTCTCTCGACTTTTGAGGAGCCCTGAGTGTTGAAGAGGGCAAACACTGCCTTGCCTCACTCTGGGGCAAGTGGGAGGTGAAGAGGTGAGTGCTGTGTCCCACAGTGCATGGGGGCTTGGGCCTCCAAATTGCCTAGGGTCATTAAAATCATTGGCCTGGCCCTGGGGAACACCGGGAAGATCAGTGTTCGTCAACACATGCTGCTGATGAATCACAGGATCCAACCTCATAGCATCCACCCATGTCAGAGCTCAGTTTTTGCAGTGCCTTCTAAGGATGGTGCTAGAAAATAGGGAGAGATGGAGTATCTGGATGTGGCTGACAGGGACCACCATGATGGCAGACTCTACCACCCAAGTCTCTGAGCATGGAAGTGGTTGGGGGGGGGGGAGATGCCTGCTATTCCTCAGGAAATTTCCTATGACATTGGTTGTGTGTGACAGCATTGAACTGGAAACAATGGGAGCCCCCATCTGGATGTTTTCTTTAGAAGCACTGAAAAGAAAACGAATGAGACACTCCCATGTCCTTCCTTTAGTGCATCTGGGTAACATTCAAAGTCATGCTTGCTTTCAAAGAAATGTGTTTCTGGTTTTTACACCATATAAACTTAAGAGTACTATAAATTGCTGCTGTTGTGTGAAGCATGGAAGGAAATTATCTGGTGTGAACCAGCTCCTAAAGTTCATGTTAACAGTCATTTGTCATTTGAGCAGTTGACATGCAGCTGTATTATTAGGCTGTAATTATTGGTTTAGTTACAAAATCCAGCATATGACATTTTCAATCTGTGATGAAGTCAGGACAGTCGCCAGGTGGGGCCAAAGGTTGCTCTATCCCACCCGGTTTGGATTTGCCCTACCTAAGAATTTCCCCAAAAACAGCCACATAATTTATGATTTCCATTTAACAAAAGAGAACTTATTTTGAGAATCAGAGAAAAAAAATATCCTGGAGCCAAAAAATGCCACTGGTGGGTGGATCCAATTTTTGAGCTTCAAGAGCACCCAGAGCCACTGTGTCTCTAAGTGTGACAAGACCCTTAAAGGAATAAAGCTATACCTTGAAGTAAGTTATTCTATTTGAGGAAGGTGCTTGTTTTAAGTAGGTAAAAGATCCTGAATTTAACACTAATTGTTCTTGTTCTACTAATATGTTTTTGTTACTAAAAGTTCCTAAACACTGACACTTGGGCTTGGTGACAGGGTTGCAGAAGTTTCTGTGGATTATGAGGGAAACCACTGATTTTCCATTAACCCCCCCCCCCAAAAAAAAACCCTCCCAGTGAGCAATACGGCAACCCCAGAGGGTGAGAAAGGCCGGCTACAGTGCTGCATGCCCTGTTAGAAGATGCACACAAAAGTCAGCCTCCAGGTTGCCACATGAACGCCAGTTATTAAAATTTGGATTTGATTTCTGCAAAATGACTGAAGCACTTTTTCAAAACAGTGAGGACAACAAGACGGACCCCACTAAAATAAGTCTTTACTTACATTTACTTTATTTATAGTCCGCCTTTCTTGCTGAGGCTCAAAGATTACGGGGCTAAAACCATTTCCCTCCCAGTGAAGGGAATCCACGTGGAGATCGAAATATAGCTCTAATGAGGTTTCCGGGTGTGGCATAAGAAGGTGGAACATTATAAGCAAAGAAGATTATGGAGAACACCTACCCGCCAATGCCGGCTGTGTGGGGGTTAATAATTCCTGAGCATAAGGCGGAGGTGATGGCTGCATCCACTGAGGAGCCTTGCTTGTTCAGTACCTCGATCCCCAGGGCAGTGCAGCGGGCAGCATCAGTGACTACGGCACCCTGATGGAATATCTGCAAGAAGCCATATTCTGAGGATACATTTTCCAGGTTCAGGAACAGAAACATTTTTTTACTGAGAAAATATGATTTTTTATATAAATGATCCACCTAGCTGACCAGTGGTGGTCCCAAGTTCCTTGTGCAATGAAGCCATGTGAGGATCAAGGGCACAGATCAGAGAGTACTATGAGCACATTAGTGGTGGAAAGTGCTGTCAAGTCACAGCCGACTTATGCTGACTCCTCATGTGGCCAGCAAACCCAGCATCCTCCTCCCTTCCATCTCTGAGCCATTAGTTGAATTTTAAAAGCCCCCCTCCCCCAATTTTTAAAATTATTCTAGTGTAGGCATTTCCTTGCTTTAGGACATGCCATTTTCCTAACCTGAAATGGTCAGGTAGGGGCACTATTTGGCCTGTTGGGAAAACTCATATGTATACTTGGATCCAGCCTGTGCACATTGTAATGTGTGAATCAGCTTAGTTCAAACGCCTTCCCTTTTTTTTTTGAGAGAGAGAAAAGCTGCTTAGGACAGGAAGGGGACTGTTGGAACTGAAAAGTTAATAAGGATACTTAACGTCTTTCCCTGTTCACCTTTTCTCCACTCCAAACTGCCCCCAAGCTGCTTTTTCCACGATGGAGTTCAAAATTTATTTATTTATTTTATGCAATTTCTATCCCGCCCTCCGGAGCGAGCAGGCCTAGGGTGGGTTACAATCATAAAAATGATAGGTATAAAGATATTATAAGCCCCATTTAAATCTAATACCAATTTAAATACTAAAACATTTAAAACACGATGGCGACCCAAATAATTTCATATGCCCGAAGTGCACACTGTGAAAGTGCCAAGGGGAAATAATTTGAACAAGTGGACCAAATTGCTGTCAGAAACATAGGAATGCTATAATGCCCAGGATAGGCAAGTTCAAGCAGGGGAGGCCAATATAATTGAACCTCCTCAACCAAAGGCCTGGCGGAAAAGCTCTATTTTGCAGGCCCTGTGGAATTGTAATAGATCCCACAGAGCCCTGATCTCAAGTGGGAGCATGTTCCGCCAGTCCAGGCCAGGGGCGGTGCTGAAAAGGCTCTGGCCCTGGTCAAGGTTAGGTGAATAGCTTTTGGGCCAGGGACTGCCAGAAGATGATGTTCAGATGAGCGTAAAGCTCTTTGGGGGACATATGCCTGCTTACGAGTGCAAATGTGTTTTGGAATTCCACAGAGCAGGGAGGTAATGGCTTGGAGGGGTGGGGGAGAGTAGGAGGAGAGAAATGACAAGCATGAAACAGTGTGAAGCATTCACTGACCCATTTCTCCACTCCAAATCGCCCTCTCCAGAAACAGCTTTTCTCTAAAAAGCAGGCCACTGGGATTGTATTACATGCATTTGAGTATAGTGTTTAGTTAGGCCCTATGGGTATTTTCACAGGTGATATTTTCATTTTATCTCTCTCATACACTTCTGAACGTTCATGAAAGAAAAACAAAGAATACAATTTTAAACAGAATGCACATTTCTGATCAGTGTGGGAGCACCCTTGGCTCCCTGGAGGAAGGAGGTTCTTGTGAAAATACCTTCAGGATGTGAAAATATCTTCAGGATATACCTTTATGGGCTACATGAAAGCTACTCGCCCAAGCTGTACTCGCAGAGGTGCATAAGAAAGTGGGCAGGAATTGAGGCTCCTTTGCACAAACAACATATCCCGTTCAAAGTAACCACAGTCCAAGAAGAGTTCAAAGCACTTAATAACTGTCCATAAAAACTACTATAAGCAAAAAGACCTCATTTGTTTTTGAAGAGGCTCTGTAGGGTAGAGATGGCAGTGCCCGATTACACTTCCAATGACACTGTTGTTTGTGAGTAACTGTTCCATGCAATGTAGTTTCAGGAGGGCAGCCATGTTGGTCTGCCAGAAGAGCTAGATTCGAGTCAAGTAGCACCTTCGAGGCGAGCAAGTTTTTTGGGGTACAAGCTGTTAAAAGTCAAAGCTTCCTTTGTCAGATACACGTAGGAAATAAATCAACATGGGTGGATGTGTTAGTCTGTCTGTAGCTGTAGAAAAGAGCAAGAGTCCAGAAGCCCCTTAAAGACTAACAAAATATGTGGCAGGGAATTGCTCACTTCTTCAGATACAGATAGAATGTGAGTCCATCTGTCCTATATATTGGAAAGTGGAGTGATTTAGCTCAAGACAATGCATCCACCTGGACTGAATCGAGACCTAGGCTTCCTGTCTCATTACCAATGCTGATTTCTCCACGCCTACGGACCTCCCTGCATATCGCACCTAACCCAATCACACCTGCTAGTGTTATTTGCCTGCTAATGTCATTTGGTATCTGAAATCACTCCACTTTCCTATGGGGGTAGCAGTGTCTGAATACACTTTCAATTACATTCACATTCTAGCTGTATCTGAAGGAGTGATCAATGGCTCACGAAAGCTCATACCCTGCCACAAATAAGTAAGACCAAGGGAGATTTGGCCCTTGAAAACTTGTACCCTGGGATATTTTTTTGGTCTTTAAGGTACTGCTGGACTTGAATCTAGGGGTTCCCTGCAAGACTAGAATCTGCTCTTATTCATTTGGAAGTCAGCACAATGTTCACATCCAGGGGAGGAAGAAAAACAACCAAAGATCACTCCTTACCTGGGGGTCACCAAAATAGATCTGCATGATTAAGGCCACAGTGACTCCTGTAGCAAACGTTAGGCAGGCGGTGATGATCACGGTCAGACCGTCCTGGCGACAGCTGCAGTCCCCAGAAAATGGGTCCTTGGTGGTCTCCCGAAGTGGTGAGACGTCCTGACTGCCCATTTCCGAGGAAGATGAAGGCAGACGCTGAAGGCGAGCTGATTTTAAGAAGGAGTCTGGATCTTCATTCAAGAAGGACGGAGGGGGAGAAGCAAATTGGAGTGAGATGCTGAACAGACACAGACTCTTTTTTCTTCTTCCAAAGCATATGCAGACACACCTGTTACACCTGCACCTGTTCCAAAGACTGTTGCCTCCTTTCTCAGCCTGTGCTTTCAGATTTTCTGGCTCAGTTGCAGCTATTATGGGTTCATCTTACACAGGCTTCTCATTAACTCTTGGCAGTCTTAAGGCAGTGCTACAGTGAAGTGGGAGAGGCAGTCTACATCCTAGCAGAGGATTTTGGCTTAGTGGCAGAGCATTTGCGTGGCATGAGGAAGGGCCCAGGTTCAGTCCCTAGCATCTTCAGGTAAAAGGTCATGTGAAAGACCTCTGTCTGAGACTCTGGAGAAGCCCTGCCACTCAGAAGAGACAATACTGACCTTGATAGACCAATGATCTGACTCAGTGGAAGGCAACTCCATGTGCTCACGTGGAACATCACTTGTCCTTTGTACCCGCTGCTCATGGTTTTTGCTTGCACCCTGACCCTGCCTGCAATGTGTTCTTATGATACTGGGAAAAACCACAGCTGTAGGGATGCCAAGAAAACATTTCCGTATCGAGAGGTAAGATGCTTAATACAATTTAAAGGTCTAGCCTTTGGCTGCATCCATACTTTGGCGGATATTGTGCAATCAGTGTGCTACAGTGACCATCTGGAAGTGGTTCAGGTGGGGTAGCCATGTTGGTATGAAGTTACAGAACAAAGTTTGAGTCCAGTGGCACCTTTAAGACCAACAAAGATTAATTCTGGGTATAAGCTTTCATGTGCATGCACACTTCATTTAATTTCATGTGCATGCATACTGCATTTTCCTGGGTGAACTAGCCAATCCAGTTGTGAATTACTGCTATAGCATGATAGCTGTATAAGCACAATAGCTGGCAATGGGTAGACAGACACAATTAAATGGGGAAAAATGCAGAGACAAATTGAAAAAAGCAGTGTTTGGTTTGATGTGGTTACTTTTGTGTGTGTCATGGTAGAAATAGCAATGTTATCAAAACTAAAAGTTCACTCTTTTATTTTTTAAAAAGCAAGGGGTCTAATCTTTCATATGATCCCATACAATTCTTTACAACAGTAACTCAGCATGCAGAATGAAATATATGATGTTCCTATGATGCATGAGTGGTATGAAAACCGATGAAAGATGGAGCCCTGTTTCTGAAACCCTCCATGTAACCTTAGATGATTTAGCAAACAAGCTGATGATTACAGTTTCCATGCATCCACTGGGGTCCTGTTTGGACAGGATTTATCCTACTTGTGAACCAGTTAAGTAGAAATAATTGAAAAGGAAAGAGCTCCCCCTACCCGCAAAAGAGGGAGACATGTTGAAGCCCCCTTCACTCTTTAGGAACACATTGGTTATATTGAGATGCATGACACAGTGTATATGATTCAATATCATTTTAAGATGCTCAGTGCAATCTAACTATGTGAATCTTTAAATTATAAGAATAGCCATATATGCTGCTGATGCTCAGTTCTGGGTCACCTCACCTTTCTATCTGTCTAGTACACTTTTATCTCACCTTCCTCTGAGGAGCTCATACATGTTCTTCCCCAACTCATTTAATTCTCACAACAACCCTGTGTAATGTTCCTTCTAAGCTGTGGAGTCTTGTGAGCAAAAATTCTACTTTGTGAGCTCCTGGCATTAAAGTTGTGAGCAAGCAATGTGGCTACTGCATAAATTAGTTTGCTCTGGAGCCATCCTTCCTGAGCTAAGACAAAAATGTGTGAGCTGGAGGCTAAAAAACTGTGAGCTAGTTCATACTAACTCACCTTAGAGGGAACACTGCCTGTAAGGTAAGTTTAGCTGAGAGTAACTGGCCCAAGATCATCCAGCAACCTTCATGGCATAGCGGGAATTGTGTGGAGGAAGGTTGTCCTTCACAGGTCATGAATTTTGAACATATTGTGCATCTGTTTACCTGTTTCCTTCAGTCTAAATGTTCCCCAGAAGTTTCAGAAGCACCCATGATTCCAGATTAACTCTGTATTTGCAGCACTGAAATGGCTGGGAGACAAAGGCTGACTTTTAGTTGTTAAGTCCCTATTCTGAACCTGCTGAGTTCTGACAGTGCCTTCTTTCACACAGCACACAATGAATAGACAGAATTCATTGCCTGTAGATGTTGTGATGGTTCCAAGTTTGGGTGCTTCTTAGAAGCAAGAGACTAATTTATGAAGGATGGGTCTACCAATATCAGCCATAGCAGCTAAAAATGTAAGTTTCATATTCAGGGTTTATAAGGGTAATTATAAGGTTTATAAGGTTTTATAAGGGTTTATAAGGGTAATTTTATACTTTGGCCTTGTTCTCCAAGGAGCACTCACAATGCTGAGAGGAAATAAAAAGGAATGACTATATTCCATTACATCTTCCTGGGGTCACTGTCATGGACAGATGTTGGATGGATTGCTTTGGCCTAATCTGGCAGTTCCTAAATTCTTGAACCAGGAAACTCACTGAACACATTCCTGATCTAAACCAGTTATGCAGTTACCCTGTCTGCTGTGTAAATATGGATCAGTGACAGTGGAACAACACAGTGCATGAACTGCATCTGATCTCTTTAACACCCATGTATGTAATCACAATTCCATTCTTTCACTCTCAGTTCATTTCCTTTAAAACTCCCCAAACATGAATCAAAATGCAAAATGGTCACGTTTAAACATCCTTGTAAAGACAATAAAAAAGACACCCAAATATTTACGTAACTCTTGGTTGGCACCATAATGGTCCCACTGCTTAATAGGGGTCAGAAAGAAAAGTGAAATGAACATTGCATGTAAATGTATTCTAATGAAATGATTATTCAAAACTGGAAAGAGCCATGTGTTCTTACACAGTTTTCTTGGCAGAACTTGCTTGATAACCACTGAAGCCTGGATCATCATCACAACAAACGAAGAACACATGCAGCCAAAGATAAGGAAACCTGCTCACTTAAGCTCTGTTTTGTCCTAAGGATTCACTATTCTAAAACACATTAAGTAAAATGTTACACTTTAAGAACAGTTCCACATTGCGATGCATATCATCATACACTGAAATATGTGACACAAACAACAGTGCTCTGTTTAAAGTAATACTCTTTCAGATGCAGGTAGATTTACCAGCAAAAAAGGCACTAGAAATCCAAATGTATTTGATTTGAGAATATTTTTTAAATTGTGACCCATAATTAACCACCAGTCTCAAGCTGAGTTCAAGAAATCAGTACATAAACCAAATGCTAGTGTTGTGCTTCTAAAGCAGCATATTCTAAGCTCTTTATAAAAGGTAGTTGAATTTTAATTTGGGGGGGAAATCAGAATTTCAGTCTTCTCTGCTCTCTACTTCTCATTAGAACATTATTTTGCTTTGTCTGTGACATCACTCAGTGATACCCTGAAAGTTCTCACAACCCTAAAATACAATTTAGGAATAACCAGTCGGTTTCCTAAAGCCTTCAGGGTTTTAGCTCCCCAAGCCAGAGATGTGCATAAGGGCCTAACAACATGTTTTCCCCAAGTTCTCCCTGGGTCCATGTGATCCAATACGTATTGTGAATTCTATGTGTCTGATTTAGATCTAGACCACGGAATGTAAGGAAAGGGAACTTAAGTCTTCCTCCATGCTATTTTCCCAACCTGAAATGGTTCCAAGGGTGCTGTTGGCCCCACAGGTGTACCCCATCAGGACACATGGAGCCCCCCAAAGGGGCAAATTGCACCCCCAAAGCTGTTTCAGATCTGGCAAACAGCATGGGGGGGGGCTGAAGATCCCTTTCCTTGCACATTAACCGCCTGGCCCTCCCTGGCCCTAAGGAAGTCAGGTTGATGGTAACCAGGACGAGGGCTTTTTTGTTTGTAGCTCCGTCCTACTGGAACGAGCTCCCTGCCGAGATCAGGGCCCTGCGGGACTTGTCACAGTTCCGCAGGGCCGTGAAAACAGAACTTTTTAGGCAGGCATTCCAATAGGAGCGACGTTTTACCAGCTGCGCCCTGTAGTGAACTCCGATCCTATATGATCTAATGCGGTGGTACTGCCGAATGTGTCCTTAAATTGCACCTTAGTTCTATTGCCATCTAATGAATGTTTTAATGAATGTTTTATATTGATTGCTGTGTTTTAATTGATGTTTTATAATCTATTATGAATGTATACTGCTTGTCAGTTCTTGGAAGCCGCCCTGAGCCTGCCTAGCGGGGAGGGCGGGGTAAAAGTGAAATTAATTAATTAATTAATTAAGCAATTAATTATTGCTACACAAATCGGTCCTGCATGAGCTATTTGCTTGTGGACACTCTGGCTCTGACTTTGATAGCCACACAGGTGCTTTTTGGACCTAAATTGGAAGATGTTCTAATTCAGCAACTGTGCATTTGGCACCAGACACATGACTTTCACCTTTTGAGGCCTCACAAACATCTTTGTCATGGGTCCTTAGATCTTGCTGCTTAACCTTCCTCTTCCTGGTCCAATATTCACTTATTGGTTATCTTATTGCAATATGTATTTAAGTTATGTATACCTTAATATTGTTTGACCTCTGAAGGCCCAAATAGAGCAGAAACACGTCAGGTCATGTGTTTAGGCTATACTTTTTACGAGGCTTTCATTGGGCCCTTATGTATGTTTTTAACTGTCTTTCTAATAAATACTTGTATTTTTGTGTATTATAAGTTATAACTAGGTTTTTAATATTGGCCCTTCTTTAGACTTTCTTCTCACCCTTTTGGTTCTTGATTGACATTAATGATTGCTACGCAAATCAGTCCTACATGAGCCTGGGGTTAAATTCCCACCCCAGTATGGGCTCAGAATACATGTTTGACTGCATAGACCCAAGAAGAACATATAGCTATGCTCCAAAAGGAACTTCTGCCAAACAGGGTCAGGGTGCTAACAGTGCTGATGATTTGCTTGGGGAGCAAAGGAAATGACTCCCAACAATAGCTTG